TCCTTGTCTTCAGCTGGTTATATTCTCTTTCTTCATTTTCCCTCCCCCATCTATTTGCTAAGCTCACTCTCTGCCATGAAAACTTGAAATCATTTCCCTCTCGTACATCAGCTCAGTGACTATCCCAGATCAACAGGAATGCAAATATCATGTAAGAAACAGGCCAATTAGCATATCAAAAACATAGTACAGTAATACTAATAATACAAGGTTAACAAAAACTATACAAACCTTTGAGTTGTTTTCTGATTGGTTTACTGGATTCAAGCCATCTCTGTTGAATAAGGAAATAAAGTTTTATTTTTAAATCTTAATAAAAACATCAAAGTTATAGAAAACAGATTCTACTTACAGGAGAATCCACTGAATCTTCACCATGTTGCAAACCAAAATATTCTTTTTCTGTTATACCCAAGTGATTAAAAGCCATATCCAACAGAACTTGACCAGTATCTTGTTTCTAGAGGAAGGAATAGATTTTATAAGTGAATTCTGTAAATGTCAAGATTTTATCTTTTGTAACCATAATCAGATTTTGTGACAATTTGGAAAAACAAAGCACTTTAAAAACAATTCATTTTTTTAATGCTTTGATTGGTTTTCCTAAACCATTCCCCAACTACACCATCTTATAGTCTTTGTCATGGGGAATGGCTCTCTGGGCCATACACACACACACACACACACACACACACGCGTGCGCACACCCCCCCGCAACATCCCCACCACACACACACACACACACACACACACACACACTCTCTCTCTCCCTATAACTGCTTGAGGGATGTCAGTCTTATTCTCAAACTATTTCTACTTTATGTGATATATTCTAAATTTCAAATCAAGAAACCTGAGACAGTGTCCCTTCCACCTTGGGAGCAGAGATCAAATTGAAAAGAAAGGAAAAAGGCAAAAAAAATGAGTAAAAAATAAACAAACAAAAGAACCTGAACAAAGAAAATTATCATGGCAACAGGGAAGATCAAGACACAAAATCAGAAAACAACAACAATGTCAAAACATCAATGGGCAAAACTCCAAAGAAAAATGGGAAGTGGTCTCAAGCCCAGAAAGAACTCACAGAAAAGCTCAAAAAGGAGCTTAAAAATCATGTAAGTGAGGTAAAAGACAAATTGGGAAAATAAATGAGAGTGATGTAAGAGAATTATGAAAAAAAAATTCAACAGCTTGGAAAAAGAAAACTGCTTAAAAAGTAGAATTGGTCAGATGGAAAAGGAGATACAAAAATCCACTGAAGAAAACAACTCCTTAAAAAATATAATTGGCTAAATAGAAAAGAAAGTACAAAAGCTAAATGAAGAAAACAACTCCTTAAAAGTTAGAATTAGGCAAGCAGAAGATAGTAACTCTATGAGACATCAAAAATCAATCAAATTCAAAAGAATGCAAAAAGGAGAAAAATGTAAAGTACCTCACGGGAAAAACAAATGACCTGGAAAATACATCCAGGACAGGCAATATCAGAATCATTGGACTACCTGAAAGCCATAATCAAAAGGAAGACCTGGACAGCATCTTTCAAGAAAAACTGCCCTGATGTCCTGGATCCAGAGGGTAAAACAGGCATCAAAAGAAGTCACCCATGACCTTAGGAAAGAAATCTCAAAATAAAAATGCCAAGGAACTATTATAGCCAAATTTCAGAACTATCAGGTCAAGGGGGAAATGCAAGTGAGCAGAAAGAAACAATTCAAATATTAGGGAACTACTATCAGGATTACACAGAATTTAGTAACTGCAACATTTAAAGATCAGAAGTCATGGAACATGTTATTTTGGAAGGCAAAGGAGCTAGGACTACAACCAAGAATCATTTACCAGTGAGATTAAGCATAATACATCCATAACACCATTCCATGGTAATTCAATGAAATAGAAGAATTTCAAGCTTTTTTAAGAAGACCAGAATTAAACCAAAAATTTGATTTCCAATATAAGACCCAACAGCAATATGAACATGTAAAAACGGAAAAGAAAACATAAGGGATTCAATAGAGCTAAGCTGTTTACAACTCTACATGGGAAGATGATACTTGTAATTCTTAACTGTAATACTAACAGTACAGCTAGAAGGAATATACACAGACACAGGGTACAGGTTTAAGGCGAATTTGAAGGAATGATATAAAAAATAATTAAGGGATGAGAAAGAGACATACATTTGGTATATAAGGAAGGGAGAGGTAGAATGGGGTAAATTATTTCACATGAAGAGTCACAAAAGATCTATTACAATGGAGGGGAAGATGGGAGGGTAGGCAATGAGCATCACTTAAGCCTTACTCTCAGCAGTACTGGCTCAAAGAGGGAATAATATACACAATAAGTTGAATACAGAAGTGTATCTTACCTGACAGAGAAGATTAAGTAAAGGGAGTAGGTAGGTAAGGATTGACAGAAGGGACAGTAGATGGGGAGATGTGGCAGACAGAATCAAAACACTAATGAGAAGGGAAATGTAGAAGGGGGAGAGAGGACAAACAGGAGGGAAAATAGCATGTAGGGAAATACACAGTAATCATAACTGTGAATGTGAATGGGATGAATTCTCCCATAAAATGGAAGCTGATAACAAGTGGATCAAAAACCAGAATCCTACAAGATTACAAGAAACACAGTTGGAGCAGAGAAATACACACAGAGTAAAGGTAGGGAGCTAAAGCAGAATTTATTATGCTTCAGCTGAAGTAAAAAAAACAAACAAATGGCTAGCAATCCTAATTTCAGGCAAAGTAAAAGCAAAAATATATCTAATTAAAAAGAGATAAGGAAGGAAACTACATCTTGCTAAAAGGTACCACAGACAATGAAGCAATATCAATACTAAACACATACACACCAAGTGGTATAGCATCCATATTCTTAAAGGAGAAGCTAAGTGAGATACTGGAAGAAAGAGAGAGCAAAACTATACCAGACCTCAACTGTCCTCTCTCAGAACTTGATAAAGCCAACCAAAAAACAAATAAACCAAGAAACTAAGGCAGTGAATAGAATATTAGAAAAGTTAAATATGTCAGATGTTTGGAGAAAACTGGGAACAGAAAAGAATATACTTTTTTTTCCTCAGTAGCAAAGGGCACCTACACAAAAACTGACCACATATTAGGGCATAAAAACCTCAAATTCAAATGTAGAAAGGCAGAAATATTTAACGTAGTTTTAGATCATAATGGAATAAAAATTACATTCAGCAAAAATCAGTGGAAAGATAGATTAAAAATAAATTGGAAACTAAATAAGCTAATCCTAAAGAATAAGTGGGTCAAAGAACAAATCATAGAATCAATAAATAATTTCATAAAAGGGAATGATAACAATGAAACAACACACCCAAATTTATGGGATGCAGCCAAAGCAGTACTTAAGGGAAAATTTCTCTAATTCTTACATCAACAAAACAGAAAAAGAACAGATCAATGAATTGAGCATGCAACTAAAAAAACTAGAAAAAGAACAAATTAAAAATCCCCAATTAAATTAAAAATTAAATTGGAAATCCTGAAAATCAAAGGTGAAATGAATATGATCAAAAGTAAAAAAAAAATATTGAGCTAATAAATAAATCTAGGAGCTGGTTTTATGAAAACACCAATAAGACAGATAAACCATTGGTTGAAGAAAACCAAACATCCAATATCAAAAATGAAAATAATGAAATCACCATCAATGAGGAAAAAAATTAAAGCAATCATTAGGGAATATTTTGCCAAATTACATGCCAATAGACCTGACAATCTGAGTGAAATCAATGAATGTTTATTAAAATATAAATTATCCAGATTAACAGATTAGAAAATAGAATATCTAAATAACCCCACTTTAGAAAAAGTAATTGGACAAGCCATTAATGAACTCCCTACGAAAAAATCCCAGGGCCAGATAGGTTCACAAGCGAATTCTACTAAACATTCAAAGAACAAATAATTCCAATAAACTGTTTGAGAAAATAGGCAAAGAAGGAGGTGCTAATGCCTAAACCAGGAAGAGTTAAAACAGAGAAAGAAAATTATAGACCAATTTCCCTAATGAATATAGATGCAAAAATTTTGAACAAAATACTAGCAATTACAGCAATATATCACAAGGATTATACACTATGACCAGGAGAGATTTATACCAGGAATGCAGGGTTGGTTCAATATTTGGAAAACTATCAACATAACTGACCATGTAAATAACAAAACCAACAGAAATCATATGATTATCTCTACAGATGCTGGAAAAGCTTTTGACAAAATACGGAATTCATTCCTATTAAAAACACTATAGAGCACAGGAATGAAGGGAGTATTTCTTAAAATGATAAGCATATCTATCTAAAACCATCAGCAAGCATACTGTAATGGGGTAACCTAGAAGTCTTCCCAATAATATTAGGGGTGAAGTGAAGTTACCCATTATCACCACTATTATTCAATACAGGACTAGAAATATTAGCTACAGCAGTAAGAGAAGAAAAATAAATCGAAGGAATTGGAATAGGCAATGATGAAACAAAACTCTTCGCAAATGATATGATGGTATACTTAGAGAACCCTAAAGAATCAACTAAAAACTATTTGAAATAATTAACAACTTTAGCAAAGTTGCAGGATGTAAGATAAACCCACACCAATTATCAGCCTTTCTTTATATGACCAACAAAGCCTAGAAGCAAGAAATAGAAATAGAAATTCCATTTAAAATAACTGGAAACAATATACAATAATGCTTTTCACACAAAGTGAGATATAAACAATTGGAAAAATATCAATTGTTCACGGGTAGGCTGAGCCAATATAATAAAAATGACAATTCTGTGTAAGCTAATTTACTTATTCAGAGCCATACCAATCAAACCACCAAAAAATTATTTGATAGAGCTAGGAAAAAGAACAAAATTCAAATTCACCTGGAAGAACAAAAGGCCAAGAATATCAAGGGAATTAAAGGGGAAAAAATACAAAGGAAGGTAGACTAACAATACCAGATCTAAAACTATATTATAAAGCAATAATCATCAAAACTATCTGGTACAGGCTAAGAAAGAATGGAGGATCAGTGGAACAGGTTAAGTACACAAGACACAGTAGTCAATGACCATAGTAACCTAGTGTTTGATAAACCCAAAGACCCCAGGCTTTGGGATAAGAACTCACTATTTAACAAAAACTGCTAGGAAAACTGGAAAATAATAAGACACAAAGTAGGTATAGACCAACATCTCACATCGTATATCAAGATAAGGTCAAAATAGGTGCGTGATTTAGACATAAAGGGTGACATCATAAGCAAATCAGAAAAGCAAGGAATACTCTACCTGTCACATCTATGGGGAAGGGAAGAATTCATGACCAAACAAAAGACAGAGAGCGTTACAAAATGTAGAACAGATAATTTTGATTATATTAAAATAAAAAGCTTTTGTATAAACAAAAGCAATGCAACCACAAT